AGAGAGAGAGAGAGAGAGAGAGAGAGAGAGAGAGAGAGAGAGAGAGAGAGAGAGAGAGAGAGAGAGAGAGAGAGAGAGAGAGAGAGAGACGTGGGAATGGATCGTGGGAAGGGCGTTGGAGGTCGGCGAGTTGTTTGTAGTAGCTTCTCCGTCGGGATCGCGTCCGGGGCACGTCCAGACCCCGTCTTGCGTCTTGCTCGCTTCTTGTACGTGTTCGTTGTCATCACGTTTGTCCTTCTGCGCGGAGAAGCCTCGCCCTCCCCTCCTCCCCCCCCGCCTTTCGCACGCTTCCCCTCCTCCTCCTCCTCCTCCTTCTCCTCCTTTTACTCCTCCTCCTCCTCATCGGCATCAAGTCGTCCTTCTTCTTCTTCCTTCTTCTCGTCGTTCCCCTCGCACACCGTGCACCCATCCCGTCCGCGCTCCCATTCCCACCCCCTCCTCTCTCTGTCGCGATCCCTACCGTCGTTGCTGCGGCTAGTTTCAACAGAACGCCCCCCCCCTCGCGCCACGCCGCCGGCTCTCTCTTGTCTCGACCTAGATGGGGAAGGCGATCTCGACTCAGTCTGTATGATTGCCCACCGCATCCAGATCACGCCCAATCAAGCTGTAATTAAGGGAAGAGGGAATTTAACCCTCCTCCCTTCCTCCGCCCTGAACTGTTCCGTTCCTGGCTGTTCCGTCTCTATCAAGCTGGACGGGGACATCTATCTCCACGAGAAGGCGGTAATCATTGCATCTACTCTGCTGATAGAGGCGTCGAACGTGTTCCTGAGGAGTTCGGCGGCGATTTCGACCAAGGGTTTAGGTGGAGAACCACCTCCTCAAACGAGTGGGACCGCGACGGGAACAGATGGTGGGGGGGGGGGCTTCGGAGGGAGGGGCGCCTCTTGTTCCATCAGCGCGGCGTCGTTCAGTGATGGCGATGTCTGGGGGGGGGACACGTACGAATGGCACAACCTGCATTGCCCGTGGGTGTATGGGTCCCCAGGTGCGGGGTTAGGTATGGAGGGAGTGGGAGGAGGAGGAGGTGGGGGGCGATTGAATATTACGCTACAAGGGATGCTCTTTCTTGAGGGGAGCATTGACTCCGACGGAGGGGATGGTGCAGATGGCGGTAAAGCGGGAGGAGGAGGCTCTGGCGGGAGCGTCTTCATCAAGTCTAAGGACCTGTGAGTCATCTCCCCTGCTCTCTAAAAAAAGAATTCATTTTTTCCTGTTTTTCTTTCTTTCTTTCTTTCTCTTTTCTTTTTTTCGCTTTTGCGCTCTGATATTATTGTGACAATATATATTTATGTGACGAGAAATATATATATCATCATAATATGTGTATGGAACGATATATGTGTGCAAGTGGGTCGATATGACACACGGGGGTGGGGGCAGAGCCGCCGCTCAACCTACATCCACGTGGGCGGCCTTGTACGCAAAAGGTTCTGAACAGGGGGAGTTGTAAAGAAGAAGATTAAAAAATGAATTCACTTTTTCTTGGTTTTCTTCGCTTTTGTGCTCTGAGATCCACAGCCCCTCGTTTGTTGTCCTTTTCTCTCTCTGCCTACGGTTTACCGGGCAGTTCTGATTGTGACGATATATATTGTCACATTGTGAATCAGAGCGCAAAAAAGGGGAAAGAAAAAAGGAAAAGGAAAAAAGGGG